TGCAAGCTATGTACGGTAAATGGCAGGTAATTTCTGGAAGTGGAGGGAGACTGGGGGCAGCCCTCATTCCCACTGGCAGCCAGAGCAAGGCAACTGGTTCACCTTATATGCCATCAGTGCATTTCAAAGCATTCAAAGTTGGACAGTCTCAGTCTAACTCCCTCATTTTACTAATAAGGAAACTGAGGCCCAGAGAGACAGTGTGACAGAGATGGGATCTCATCTAGGGTTTTCTCGCTCCATATGCTATGCACTCCATCATAGCACCTCAACAACATTTGCCTCTGACAGGAAACAGAGGCACTGAACTGAAACGCACCATCTCTAACCATCACAGATTGTTCACTGTTAGTCCAGCCCTGTACCTTTTGTGCATGGAAGCACTACACTGTCCAAGAATGGAATCAAGCGGTGCAGGAATTCTCTCTCACAAGCTGCACCTGCTCTTTCCAGGATGACAGGCATGATCTAGGTTTCCGTCCTCGTGCTGACACTTACTATTCAACATCTGGTATTGTTTTGTCATGATGACAGTCATTCTTTAACTACATCCACTTAACTTACAGCAAGGTTGTTAGATGGAGGGAATGCAGATATTTATTAACTACTATGTGTGAAGTATTGAGGAACCAAGGACAGAAACCAAAGTTCCCCTTCTCACTAAGCTTCCACCGTGTCAGAAATGTCATCTCCAAAATCGACCCGTGAGCTCTCAGCCCTCTGCTCTCTCTCCTCCCACCCCTTCTCAGGTAGTAGATCACCAGGCAGAGGGAGAAGGGGGCAAGGAGAAGGAAAGGCACCAGAAAAGTCACAATGCAGGACCCAACTCCAGGTGCTACATACTTTGCCAAGGTCCCAATTTTTCCACCATAAAAATGAACCAATTACCTTACTCACTTATATAAGATCATTATCAACATATAAAACTGTTTGTTAGCACCAATACTAACAGGATTCCATATGGAAAGACAGCCAGAGCCAAACTAGGGGCTGAATAAAACAAAGAAATGATAAACATTCATAAAACCTTAAAGAAAAAGCATTTAGGGATCCTACCTTGGCAAAAACCCAGGTAAAAGCTTCTGGGAAGCTGAAGCTTAAAGGTTCCCAAAGATTCCACGTCAAGGTCCCTGTTATCCTGCAGCGCCTACATTCCAGTCAAACTGGATGCTCCTGGAGGCAGGGGCTGCTTCTTGTCCTTCTCTGAATACTCTCACTTAGCCCAGAAAGCCCATATTAAACACTTAATGAATGCTTGTCACCCAACTCCCTGCATCCTGACTCCGAGCTGTTTTTTTGCACAGGCTGCTCTCCAGGGATGTAAGGCACCAGCTCCTCGCCTCCCATCTTAGAATCACCGGCTGCATTTCAAACTCCGATCGGGGCCACCTCGGACAGAGCCCTGCATGGCCTCCTGGTTGGTAGTGCTTCTCTCCCTCCTGAAATTGCTACGTAATTTACGTAGTAAATTACTATTGACCTTTCTAACACCTGTCCCCACACAATGGAAGGGCCTTGAGGGCAGGCACTGGTTTTCATTTTTGTCTTAAGATACCCAGTCGCTAGGACAGTACCCTGTACCTTGTAGGCACTTAATATGTTTAATTTCAAGACATTTCATTATTGAAGTGCAGCCCACATTCAAACCAATGGTATTTGTGCAAAGACTGTTGGGAGCGGATCATGACTCAAATCCCAACTATACCCCTCACTACTCATGTAACCTTGGACACGTCACTTCCCCATTCTGGGGCTCAGTTTCCTTATTTGTTAAATGAAAGATTGGATTAGATGATTCGTCTCTTTCAGTTCTATGATTCTACAATAATTACATTTTGTTTTCCTCTCAGTCATTCTGTGAGGTAGGTACCTTGAATAATATTATCCTCATTTTCCAAATAAAGAAACTGAGTCTCAGAGAAGCTGAGTGACCTACCCAATGTCACATCCTCAACTGGGAAGTCAGGATTTGGGCCTAGATCTCCTGACTCATCTCTGTGCCTTGCACAGACAAAATGTTTAGCTATTAAATTGAATCTTTCCCCTATACCACGGTATTTCTCTATTTTTCTCCTGAATCTCCAAGTACAGACAATAAATATCGATCTAGGTGGACTGCCAGCACTTCAAAAACCAAACTCCTCATCATTGCCACAAAACCTGCTCTCCCTGCTAACGCACTCATTTCTCAGCTTTTCTGCCAACCTCCAGTTCCCAGTTATCCAGACTTGCAGGCTCAGAATGCATCCTGGCCCCCGTGTGGATGCCAGTCTTATCACTCCAAGCCCTTTACACCTGGAGTTCCACATGTGTTCTCCACTTTCCATTCTGCTTGTAACCAGAGTTCAGGCATTACCTCAAGACCTTTGATCTAAAGTTCACAACAGTTTTCACTCCTTCAATCCTAAACACTCTTGCCAGAATAACCTTTTTAAAGCAAAACTGTGATTATGTTCTTGCCTTTTGTGAATTGGGGAGGTAAATTATTCCCTTTTTTTCCTGATAGAAAAAACAACAACAACAAAAAGCCTGTTTGATATGAATTATCTTTCCCTTCTCCTCTTTGGAAAGATAGAAAGGAAGTATCTAATTAGCCAGTGATTAACTAGAGCAATGAGTGGGACACAAAAAGCCTACCACAAATTTATAGAGATTACCAACCGGCCAAGAGTATTACATAAGACTGCAAAAAACCTGTAAGTCATATAGCTTGCCTTCTCAAGAGATGGGGGAGGGGTGGGAGGGACAGAATTTGGGACCTAAAATTTTTAAAAATGAAAATGACAATTATTTTTAAAAACATAACTGGGAAACATTTAACAAAATAAATAATATATATTCAGCAGATGCAGAAAAGTAGTCAGCAATTGGATATGACAAGTCTCTGAACTGAGGAAACCAAGCTGGCCCATGGGGCTCAATGATCTTTTTGTTAGAATAGAGTAAGAAAGCAGTGAGCTTCTTGGATCGCTTCTGAGAAAACGCTAATTCCCCTAAAGATACTGTGATAGCTTAGGGCATCTTTACCCAGTCAGTCTTCTACTAAAAAACTAAAAACATTTAAAATTTCCTCACTGTATACCAAATAAAATACAACCTCTCCCTGGCATTCAATACTCCCAAACTATCCCTCCAGCCTAAGGTCCCACTACTCTTCCTTACACACTCTATCTTCCTGACAAACTATCCTTGCCACTAACACAAACTCTCTTGCCTTCTTGCCACTGCTTACTCTATTTCATCTGCCTCTCTCATCAGGTCAAAACTGCACTGATTCCTTAGATCTCACCTCAGTTCAAATGCCACTGAAGGCTTCTGCCTGGCTGTGGGAAAGGACCCAGAGCCTGGAGGCTCTGCTCTGCCTATGGGCCTGTCAGGGAGGCACAGTATGACAGCTGGGAACTTTCTTGAGAAACACAAAGCCTTCCCTCTGCCCCTAGCCAGAAGTAATTTACCCTTCTTCTACAGTCCCATAGCATTTTGTTTGTACTTCTCTTATGGTATTTATCACATTTTTATCTTTAAATTATAGTAATTTGAACATATCTTATCTTTCCTAAAATGTCAATGCCCAGTTCATTGTCCTATACGTAAAAGTTCACATTTTATATAGTACTCTGAGGTTTGCAAAGCACATTATAACCCATCATTCGATTTTCAGTACAGCTCTGTAAGGAATGTACTCCTTTCATTCCCCTTTTACAAGTGAGAAAATGGGGCCAGAAAAAAAAATTATATGATCTGTCCAGATATATAGCCAATGGATTCAAGCTAGGAACTGAACCAGGGTCTTCCTAATGAAGCCTAGCATTCTAACCCTTAGATCACTCTGCTTCTGTGTGAGAAACACTATTGAATAAATGAATGTTATATCACCTAGTTCTGTTATTTTTCATAACAGGAGGGAATTTATTCTGGCAGTTTATATTACACAAAGTGAACCAAGGTTTGTAATATTCAACCCCTAGGTTAGTTCATGAATAAAGGTAGGGTTTTTCTGATCCTTAATCTCTTCTAGAATGTCACAGGGTTTTAAATCAGGGAGATCAATTCAATTTAACAACAAGTACAGAGATTACTATGTATGTGCACCAAGGAGGATATAAAAGTATTACAACAAAATCTTCAATGAATGTTTGCAAGAAAATAATTGTTCATGAAGGAATCTGAAAATACAAAAGAAACTATATGCCAAAATGAGTATTACAGACCCTAAGAAGTATGGAAGGTCAGAAGTGGAGAGTTCCACGGAAGCTCAAGTTATTAAGAAAGCTTTCACTAAACAGATAAAATCTGAAGGACAACAGGATTTGGATAGGGAAGATAATGCATATTGGACTTAACCTATCCTATTTTAAGTACAGATTTCTGTAGAGATTTGTATAGTGAAGCTTTCCCTACCTTTACAATGCTGTGCATTAAATACTGAACAATATTTGGAGACGGGCATTTTTTTTAGGTAATGTAATTTTTAGTACTTGATTAATAAATTTTAAATGCTGTTAACAAAAAAGTACGTAAACCTAAAATTTTAATTTTAGTTTGAATTTTAATTTAGTTCAATTTTATAGTCAGTTTATAACTTTTATAGTTCTACGACATCTGGCCAAAATCTAGGACACACTGACAAAGCAACACAGCCCCATCCTATATAGTTCCTATTATAACAGAAAGACTGTACAAAGACTGAGGCTTTTCCTTAATGTGGGACATAATCTCAACGAGTCCAGTGTTTTATTCACCGGGTCCCTATGTTGCCTCTAGATGAAAGCAATATCTTACTCTTAGGATTATATATGCATACATATATGTTATGCATATATGCACATGTGCATTATGTATGTGTGTACATACATGTGGGCTATGTAGCTCTCAGTTTCATGAAAATGTGGGGTTTCATCAAGCTATCCACAAGTCCAGACTTGGGATGAGAAGTTGAGGCACCATCACCACTCTCTGCTGTACTTAGATCTTGAAAACACCAGTTTGCTTCTTCCTACCTGTCGCTGACATCACACCCAGCTTCCTGTCCCAAAGACTGGTGACATCTATCAGAGGCTTCTGGTTGTACTATTCTTCTAGGCTAGAACAGGATAAAGAATTAAATGAAATGAATTCTGCTCACTGAGCTAACCCTTCAGAACTAAGATGCAATGCCCTACATGTAGCCTTTAAAAGGGACACTATTAAGTTCCAGTCATCCTAGTTCTGGTCAAGTATTACAAGTATCTGATTCCTAAAATTTACTTATCAGTTTTGCTCAAACTTTCTACATCCAGGTTGATGAGTAACCTTTATTTGAACCCTTCCCTTAATGAGTTCTTTGCATACATCATAATTAATCTTCCATTCATAAAATTTAATTATCCAAGTACATATACTACTTGCGCCTCGTATTTAGTGGTTTTGTCAACCTTTGTTGGATTATGTTCCAACCATGTCCTAGGCCTATCTTTTAGTTAAAAGGTTAAAAAAGAGGATTCATTTACTGCAAAACAACTTTCAGCAATGGTTATTAAAATCCTCCTTGTTAAAAAGAGAAAGCAAGGGAGGAGAAAGGAAAGACCCATGAGACAAATCCCTCAAGTCCACCGTTACTGTGTTAAATGGTTGCTATGTAATACTGTAGCTTTGTTACTGGGCAGTAACTAGGAAGCTGGAGTAACAAACAGGCTAACAAATGGACATAAAGCTCTAATGATTGAGGTGATCAAAATAAGAGTTTCAAAAATATTTTCAAATTGTTATTTTGTATTAAAAAACACATTACCTAATACATCTTTTTTAAAAATTAGCATTAGATGCAGAAACATGTTTCTGAGCAAAATTTCAGAATTTGCTTCTCTGAAGATTTTTAAGAAAAAGCTCTTGGAGTGGGGGGGGGGCTGGGGAGAAAAGGCTTTAGATGCACCACTTCCTGGAACAGAAATGGACTAGATGATCCATTAGGTTCCTCAATACCATGATTTATACTTATTCATAATTCATGAGTCATATAGCAATTGAGAGTTTGCTGTTTTTCCTATCCTTTAAGCTTGCTTTTCCTGCCCCAGGCTAAACAAAAACATTACTAAATTTGATAGTTATAATTTCCTCCATGACATCAGAAGCTTAGTTGAAAGAAATGTGGGCAATCTGAGCAGACTCCAAACTTAAGGGAGCCAGATAAGGATATAAATGCTAATAGACATGAAATAAATTCTTAATTAACCTTACAATACAATCTAAATATAATCTGATATTCAATAAATATTGTTACAGTTAGAATTGTGATCACAGAGGAAAATGAAAAGATAAAATTCTTAAGATTCTAGGTTCACTTTTGGAAAAAATATTTAATTTACACTTTTTCATGTTACAAAACAATAACTAATGAAAAGGTAAGAGAACGACCAAATTCCCAACCCTAATCTACTTGGAGCAGCAACCCTGAGGGAATCTTCATTGGGGCTATTACCATGGGAAAGTCTCACATTTTTCTAAACTTTCTAGGAACAGGAACTTTTCCTCCCAGTTCTAACAAATTCCTTTTCTTTACACTCTCTTTTTTCTTTCACTTATGACTCTTCCTCATTTACTTTTTCTACTTTCAACTTTCTCTAATACCACTAAACAGAGAGCAAGGCAAGGAAAGAAGGGATGTTGGGTAGAGAAGAGAAAAACACTACATGGACATTCACATTCACCATCATCCAACATTTATTTAGCTGCATAAGGCATTGAAGATACAAAAAGGTTTCATACATGTTCACTATCCTCAAGGACTTTACAATCTAGTTAGAGAAACAGGACATAGACATAAAAAAATAAATAACAATACAAAGTAACTTGGGCCAACTGCCAAACAAGGGTTAGACTAGGGCAGCTCCTGGATGGTGCAACAGAGAGACATACTTCAGCTGGGCAGGAAAGTGGGAGAAAGCCTTCCAAGCTTGAGGAAGAGTTTGAATCAGCAAAGGCAAAAAGGTAGAAGGCACAGGCCGCGTACACAGTGAATGACCCATGTGGTGGGAGCATAATGTTCACATTAGAATAACATGGCTGGAAACACAGGTCGAAGATTGAGTAGGGCTTGGAATGTGAGACTAAGGATTTTGAACTTTATGCAGTAGTAACCACTTAAGGTGTGTATGTGAGTGTGTGCATGCATACACCTGTATAGGCATTTGTACACATAAATATACATATATTTGTATGTATGTGTGTTTATACATATTCAATATATAATAAATTTGAGAATAATAACGCTGGCATCTAACCCATTCTGAACAATTTACAAAGTATAATTATAATGAAATTAAAATGCTTTTTAAAATACAAAGCAGCATGCAGAACAGAGGTTCTTAACCGCTTTTACGTCTTTCCTCTGGCAGTCTGGTGAAGCTCCGAGCCCCTCTTCAAAATGAAGTTTTTAAATGCATAAAATAAAATCCACAGAATTACAAAGGAAACCAATTATATTAAAACATAGTTATCCAGGCATTTTATAAACAAGATTACAGACCACAGATTAAGAAGAACCCCATGAAGTAGCCAGTGTCTTAGGATCCTGTCTCAGGAGCCACAAGACTACAGGATATCAGAATTGCAAGGACATTAGAGATCAAACTGTCCCACTGTGTCACTCCTCCTTCCATCCCTCACGCACACAGATGAGGGAATGAATGCTTAGAAAAGTGAAATGACCTGACCAGGATCGCAAGTGACAATCAAAATCTAGACACAAGTTTTCTCACTCAAAAATCTAGTGTTCCTTCCACATACCCCAAAATTACTCTGCAGGTACTAGGCAGATTCAGTTCAAAATTCCTTCAGCCCTAAAGGAATGTTGCAAAGATTTAAGTAAGGATATCCCCTATAGAACACTCCCAAACTTCCTATCCATTACAGAAAACTAGGTCAAACAGAAAGTAACAGGAAAACTTAGAATAAGTCTGACAAATAATTCCTGTAATTATTTAAAATTTTTCTGTTCTGCTCCAAGTTCTTTTATATTTGTAGTGCCTTGAATACCCCCAAAAGATGAATCCTGATTCCTTAAATGCTGATTATCCATTGTGGTTCTTTTAGGTTTCTTCTTTCCCTCCTGTCTCTCCTTTCTTTACTTTTCTTGGGGATACCTGATTACTTCAGTAACACGGGGTGTCCGCTGTCCAAGAAAGAAAGAGCACTCAAAAGAAAACCTGAATTCTAGTTCTGTCACTTACTAACCATGTGACCCTGGTCCAATCACTGCTCCTTCTGGATCTGTTTCTTCATTTGAAAAATGGGGATATTATCCACCCTGCTTACTCCATAAGATCACAGTGAGTATCAAATTAAGATCATTTACATGAATGGCTTTAAAAAAAGAACACAAGGTGATTTGGAATGCAAGGTGTCATTAAGATTTTCAAAGAATTAAGAAAGAAGCTAAAACAATTATCTACACTGAATTCATTATCAGGGCTAACCCAGTCTCCCAATACAGAGCATAGGAAAACAGTGTATTCAAGCATTTATCAAATAAGGCACTGAGGACAGACACAAAATTGAAATAAAACAGCTCTGCTCACAGATCTTTAAACATACTCGATCTAGTCATACTTTGATTCTGTCTACTCCTCTGTGTAGACCAGGTCCTTATTTGGGAAAGGTTCCTAAAGATCAGCATCATTCTTCATGTGACTAGAGATAGAAAAACCCACTATAACATTAATAATACAGTCTCCATGCCTTATCCTGTTTCTTGAAATCAAACAGCAAGTCAAAATCTAAGTATGCCTCCCTACAACAATTTGGTACCATCCCTTAAAAACTTCAGAAGAGTGTAAAAATATCCCAAAACTGCGCTTGGATCAAATGCTACCACCAGAGAAATACAGAGATCAATTTAATCACCTAAAAAATAAATCAATATACTCACAGACTGAACACTGTGGTAGCTAGGTTCCTTTGAATCCAAAAATAAACTGCAAGTAAAATATTTCATTTTAAAAATTAAATTGCAGAGCAAATGCTCACTGCATATTAGACTTGCTTACAGATAAGCTGTTGCCAAGCAACATTGCTTAAAGAATCTGAAAACCTAGTTGCTAAGTTTTAGACCTATTCAAGTAATTTGTGTACACAAAACCTAACATATCTGTGATATTATAAAAAAAAAAGAATGTCATTAAGAACATTAAATACATATTTTGCACTCTCCCAACACTAATCATCTCTACTTGAAAATTCAGAACTGAGTTAAATTTCTTTAAATAAGGTTTCACCCACCACTTCAAAGTTGTCTAGCAGTCTACATTTTAAAAAGAGTGGGTCAGTTAAGTTTGGCTAGAAGGTGGGAAGCTAGAAGTTTAGCAAAATAACAATCAGAGCAGGGGAATTAACTTCAAGATTTTAACGGTCCCTGAATGGAGTTGCATCATGACAGGCAATATTACTGTCATAAATGACCTTAAGGAAAAGTGCTATGTATCTTTCTATCACAGACTAAAAAAAGTGGCTGACACACTTCAGTCAATTCAGCTACATGATCAAGAGCATTCTTTTTTGACATTAAGCCTATGTCCATAATAGGATATAATTCAATTTAACCAGCATTTATTAAGAACCTACTATGTGCCTAACACAGTGATGAGCAATGGGGATATAAAGGCAAAAAAATGAAACAGTCCTGATTCTCTAGGAGAGTAAGTTCTACTGTATTATAGTCTCATAGATTTAGAACAAGAATTTTTTTTAAAGACAATCTTGTCCAATTCTCTCAATTTCCAGATGAGGAAACTAACCCAAGAGCGGGTGAAGCGAATTGTCTAAGGTCACACATTTAACTAAATTCAGTATTCATTGAGTACCTGATACTTTCTAGGCATTGTTAGGCTGGGGATTTAAAAAAAAATGTTCCCTGCCTTCAATTCTAGTACCATAAACTCTACAAGATTTAGTTAAGACAGCGGAACCACGACTAGAACCAGTCTTCCGAATACAAATTAGGTATTCTTTCCACTACACCACACTTCTGAAAGAGCCCCAGATCTGAAGTCAGATGCTACTGATTCTAATCTACTTATCTCTGTCTAGCCTTGGTGACCTGATGGAGAAAGTGCTGGACTTGGGAGTAAGAAAAACCTAACACCAAATTCTGTCTCGGAAACTTAGAAGCTGTTCCTCTCAGTCTTTCTCAGACTCAGTTTCCTCATGGGCAAAAAATATTATCTCTAAGATTGGTTCCTTCCAGCTCTAAAACTACGATCTTATGATCCCAAATTGCTTAATCTCTCTGGGTCCCAATCCTGCAAAACTGAAAGGGTCTGGCTACATGACTTCTAAGGTTCCTTCAAGTTCGAGATTTAAGATATTAAAGATATTAAGTTAACCTCTCAGCCTCAATTTCCCTTCTAGTTCTCCATTTAAGTTAACAAGTTTCTTTACCTCTCTCAGACTCAGTTTGCCTAACTTTACATTAAGGAAATCGGTCCACAAGACCTCTAAGGTCCCTTCTAGTTCTAGATTTAAGTTATTACGTTTCTCGACCTCTCTCAGCCTCAGTTTCCCCCTCTGTAAAATGAAGGGGTCGGGCTCCACGACCTCTCCGCTCGGCACCTATAATAAAGGTGAACGAAGGAGCATCTCCTTTTCCCCATCCCTCACTTCCTGCACGTCCTTCATGCCCGACGCCCCCAGGGAGGGGCGTCCAAGGAGGTGAGCAACACCACTCGTGGGGTGGGGCTGACTGGCTGGCCTTGAGCCCACGCGGGGCCAAGACCCTTCCCCCAAGCGAGGTTACCTACCACGGCTCCTCCACGGTCCTTTCAAAGTGTGCGCGCACACCTGACAGGGGAGGAAGGTGTGAAGGCTGCGGACATCGCCGCCGCCGGCCAACATGCCCTCAGCTCCAACCCGGGGCCTCCGTGGGGCTTACTACTCGGACGCAGGGAGGGTAAGCTAACATCCCACCCCGGACATTCGAGGACGCGCGGGCTCCGCGGACTAACGGACCCAGTGAGAGGAACACACTGCGCAGGCGCAGGCGCACGCGCAGAAGGCCTCGCAGGATATCGCCCCGCCCCCGCCTCCACCCCCACTCCCGGTCCTAGGGAGCTCCCGGAGACCCTCGAGCTGAGAAACCGAAGCGGCCTTCGTCTCAGAAGGGCCTGGCTGCTTCTCTAGGCCGGCTGGCTGTCCGGGCTGGGCTGGGACAGCCCCAGCGCTCACCTAGGCGGCTGGGACTGCCCCGCGGCTCCCCAGCGAAGTCGACTCAGGTCTTTTCTGCGCCCTTCGCGATCTGATTCGGGGAAAGAGAGGAAGTTCCGCCTCTTATGGTGACGTCAGAGGGAGGGGTTACGCAGGGCGCGCTTTCAAACCTGAAACTGCGGGAAAGGCCCATGGCGGTTGGAGCTGAGTTAGGAGGCCGGAAGTAGTGGAGGGGAAAGAAAGGAGGTAGCCTTAAAGGTAGCCCCGAGGGCAAGATGAGCTTAGGGACAGATTGGGGAGCTGGACCTTTCCTCCGCGCTCCTCCATCCTCCTCTAGACCCCACTTTTTGTTTTCAGGATCCCTTTACACCCTTAAAAGTCACTGAGCAAAGGGCAGTAAGGGAACAAGCATTTATTAGGCACCTGCGGTATGCCACACCCAGTGGCTTATTGCTTTACAATTATTATCTCATTTGAGGCTCAAAGCAGCCCTGGTTGGGGGTGGGTGCTATCATTATCATCATTTTAATAATAATAATAGCAATAATGATAGCTAACATTACTATGTACCAGGCACTGTGCTAAGTGCTTTACAATTATTATCTCATTTGACCCTTAAAACAACCATGCCCCTGAGAGGTGGGTCCTATTATTATAGGCATGTTAATAATAATAATAATAATAACTAACATTTATCTAGCACCTACTATGTGTCAGGCACGGTGCTAAGCACTTTACAATTATTACCTCGTTTGATCTTCACAATAACCTGGAGGTGGGTGCTATTATTATTGGCATTTTAATAATAATAATAATAATCTTACATTTATATAGCACCTACTATGTGTCAGGCACAGTGCTAAGCACTGTGGATACCCAGAAGGGTTAAAAACAGTGAGCTTGCAATGTAGTGACATCACCAGGAGAAACATGATTGGTGGGATGCTGCTGGGCTCAGAGCAGCAGAGCATTTGGGCCCTGGCATCCCCACAGAGCCAGTCCACGGTACTCCAGAGCTAAGACCTTTGTTTCAGCTTCTCTCTAGGCTGCTTCAAGGGACTGGGGGAGAGAGAGGGAGAAACTCCCGCCTTTGAGTCAGGAGGACCTGAGTTCAAATTCAGTCTCAGACACGTGATGCTTACTGGGTGTGTGACCTTGGGCAAGTCACTTAACCCTGATTGCCTCACCAAAAAAAAAAAAAGAGGAAGAGTTAGGGTTAGGGGGAACAGGTAGCTCACAGGCCAATGACATTTGACAGTAAACCTTGAACATTAGGGCCATGATTGTGTTTGTGACTGTGCCCTCCTGCTCTGCTAAGGAACCAGAAATACCAAAGGGGAATTAGACTTAACTCCCCTAGTGGGGGTGCAGGAGATTGCACCCTTTTGCTGAGAGTGTTCTACTTCCTGATTGCCTCCCTCTAATTTATATTGCTTCGCATATTAATTAGATATCTTTACTCTTTGGTTTGCGCATCTCGCGTGTTCTAAGCAGTAGGAAAGTTTGCGTGAGATGAGAGCTAAGGCCATGAGGGGAATAGTTTGTTACCAAAGACCCACACCAAACCTCGGATGCTGTACATGAAAGAAAATGAACTTAGTAGAAAAATCTGGGTTGGAGTCTTTGAATTTAGAGCAGGAGGGGAGATCATCTACCCTAATAATACCCTCATTTTACAGCTGAAGAAACTCATATACATAGTGGTTAAATGACTTACCCCAAATCACATCGGTTGTAAATAGCCGAGTTAAGATTGGAATCTAATAATGACCATAATAGCCGACTTTAAGATTTACAAAGGGCAGCTAGCTGGCTCACTGGATAGAACACATCTTCTTGCGTTCAAATCCAGCCTCAGACGTTTACTAGCTGGGTGACCCTGGGCAAGTCACTTAACCCTGACTGTCTCAGTTTCCTCAGCTATAAAATGAGCTGGAGAAGGAAATGGCCAACCACTCCAGTATCTCTGCCAAGAAAAGCCCAAATGGGGTCATGAAGAATCAGGAACAACTGAAAAATGACTGAATGAGTAAGATTTGCAAAGTATTTTTCATGTTATTATCTCAGTTGGTCTCTGGGAGGAGGGACTGTTATTTAGAGGGGAAGGAACAGGGTGCTTTGGGTCACTTAACAAGCAAATTTCTGAAGCAGGATTTGAACCCAGGTCCAGCACTCTATCCACCGTACCACTTAGTGCCCTAGCCAGTTCTTCTGGATCCACATCTCAGCTCTAACATTGGTTTTGTTTGTGAGATTGATACACCCCTTACATCATAGAGTGGTAATGGAGGAAGTCCCATCGCAGGTTTGAAGTTGGAAGGGACCACAGAGGACTCTGAGTGTAACCCCCTCGTTTTATGAATGAGAAATCTAAGACTCAGCGACTCACCCAAGGTCAGACAGCTAATAAGTGTCTGAGGAGGGATTCAAGTCTGGGAGTCCCCAGGCAGTCTCTGAGGGAACCCTAAAGGGCTGGGTAAATATGAGCTCTAGTATTTTCCTGCTTTATCCCCTATGAAAACATTCTCTGAAGATTAAATGAGATGTTTGTAAACCACATTGTCACTTTCATTTATATGAGTTTAATATGTAAATTTATTCATATCATATATATCATGCAGGTGCTCAATAAATATTAGCTCAAGGAGTCAATAACTGAAAAGGCTTCATAATTCCAGGGATATTTCCTTTCTTAGCGCCAGGAATGTTGGAATAGTGAACATTCCGAGGGTGGTGCTGGTTGTAGGGAGCTCTTCTAACGATAAATAGACTCCTTACGGGCAAGGATTGTGGTCATCCACCTTCCTAATGCATCAATGCCTCCTTCATCTCAGGAATTCTAATTTATTCAATTGAATTGACAGCCCCTTCCAAAAGCCCCCTAGGGCACACCATGCCTGTCACCTCACATCAAGTCACTGTTCCCTCCAGCACTATTCTGGGAGATTCGAAATGGCCATCCAGTCAGGACATTCTATGGGGGTCTTTGTGTGCTCCGATTATCTGCAGTACATCCTAATTGCGTCTTGTTTGTCTGCACTTTGTCTCCTCGCCGCCCTCGCGACCTCAGCCTGTGAGCTACTTGAGAGCAGGGACTATCTTTTACTTTTCTTCCCATCACCAGCACTTAGCACGGTACTAATACATCCTTGTTGACTGACTGCTCCAACCCCATCTCCAGTGGCCTGCCCCTTAACCAAGACATGGCCTCGGTTTATCTTAGCTAAGATCATCTCCCGCACAGTTTTGACTCTCCATGTCTGCCTAGAGACATCACGGGATAAGCCCAGAAGGAAATAAATAAGCAGGATACCTTGAGAAGCAAGGAATGAATGAATAAAAGAATGAGTGAATTCATTCACCTCTTGTACTATGTACAAAGCCTGTGTTCAGCCCTGACTGCACAAATAGAAAAGCTACAGCCCTTGCTGTCCAGAAGCTCACATTCCAATGGGGAGATACCACATAGAGAGGGTTTTGACTGGGAATCAGATGGAAAGATCCCAAGACCCTTATGAAAATGCCTCTTCCTTCGTGTCATTTCTGCTGATACATTGTATCAGTTTATGATAATGAACCATTTGACAGCGCCAAGGATTTTGGTGGCAAGAGCTTTCTTTTCTTGGTCTTCAGTAGCTGCGCCAGCCCCAGCAGCAGGTAGCGTCTCCACAGGGCTGCTGCTTCCTTGGATGATGGCTGCAGAGGATTGGCTGGAGACAGGTCCAGTGGTCTGAGCCTCTCCCTCAGGGTACCTTCCTGCTTCAGGTAGGCCAGCTTGCCATGGCCCTTGGTTGAGAAGACAGGTGATCCAGTGGTACCGCCATCTTGAGGGCCTCACTGTCTGTGCTAGAAGAAGGATTACAGGGAACAGTCCTATATAGTCTTCTTGAAGTTCTCAAATTTATATTCAATGCCACCATCATAGTCTAGGGCCCCATTTCCTCACCTCTGGATGATTGCACCAGCCGAACTAGTCTCTTTACTTGCAGTTTCTACCTCACTTGCATCCATTGTTCTTGTGAAAGCCAGCAATCTTCCTAAGATACTGTTTTCATCCTTTTACCTGCCCAGAAGCTAAAAGTCTCAAGTACTTGCCTTTGCATTCAGTGCCTTACCCAACTTGGTCCCAAATTCCCTTTCCAATCTTATGATCCATCATTCTTCTACACCAGGGGTTTTTTAGCCTTTTTTTTTTTTGTGGTGGATCCCTTTGGCAGGCTAGTGAAGCTTATAGACCCCTTCTCAAAATTATGTTTTTAAATGGATCATATAAAATGCCTATGTATTACAAAGGAAACCAATTATATTGAAAGTTATCTATCCATATATGTATTGGTGTATATATGTCTACCTTAATTTATCTATTCTTTCTATCTTACCTAGCAATCTATCACCCAATTCACAGACCCCAAGTTAAGAACCCCTGCTCTGCACAAATCCTCTAATAAAGTCATGTGGGTCTAATGATTGTCTTCTAAATCCACCTTTCTTGTTTGCACCTTTGAGCTTTGGTCCCCAGGGACTTTCCCCTTCCACCTGTACCTAGAGATGATATGGCATTGTAGATAGAGCCCTGGACATGGCGTCAGGAAGGCCCAAGTTCAAACTTTTTGTTTGACCCCTATACAAAGTCCTTTAATTTCTCTGAGTTTCAGTTGCCTTATGTATAAAATGGGAATGAGAATTATAGTACTTACTTGTGCATATCCCACGAGGCGAACATGCTTTGTAAAGCTCAAAAGCATCGTGTAAATGTGTGCTATTGTTACCACTTAGCCACATGCACCTTGCACAGCCCTCAAGTCCCAGCTTCTCTGCCAGTTCACAATGACAGTTTCCTTCTCTGAATTTATACCATCTGCACTATTCATTTGCATTTACACGTGCACTATCTTATAACGTTGCGTCTATTTTTTGTCTTCCCTTTTAGTTAACTTCTTGAGCGTGTATGTCTTTACCAGAGTGCAGTTGCTTGAGGTTACTGTA